GGACAGTTTTGAAACACAGACAAACCCAAACATTGAGATTCCCGTTTGTATGTGGCCTCCAGCAGCCATGTCCCATGTATAGCTTTGAGCCTTGACAGTCATTCTTATTGCTGGGACTAGTGGCTCACGCCTTTAATCCCAACACTCGAGAGGCAGAGGCAGGTGGATCTCTGTGAGTTCGAGGCCAGGCTGGTCTACAGAGTGAGTTCTAGGACAGCCAGGCCTACGTAGTGGGATTCTGTCTTGAAAACACAGTCATTCTTATTAGTTGAGACAGAGTCACGCTGTGTGGCACCCCCTCCCTGGCTAGAATTCACTACAAATACTATGCTGCCTGTCTCTGGAGTCTCTGGGGTCACAGGCCTGGATCAGCCTTGACATCTGCCAATAGAACTGTATGTCTTTAAATCACTAGTATTCGCCCGGCGGTGGTGGCGCACGCCTTTAATCCCAGCACTCGGGAGGCAGAGGCAGGCGGATCTCTATGAGTTGGAGGCCAGCCTTGTCTACAGAGTGAGATCCAGGAAAGGCACCAAAGCTACACAGGGAAACCCTGTCTCAAAAAACAAAAACAAAAACAAACAAAAAATCACTAGTATTATTTAGAGCATAATAGAAAATGATCTGTCATCCACCAGCTTGGCCAACTGGGAAGAGCCTCTCACTCTCCAGACTCTCTTCTCATACGCTGTTGAATTTGGGATCGATGTGCAATAAAAATATTCAAAAGCCAAAGACAGCTGAGCCAATGTCTACCGCTTTGCCTCCTGCCACCTAGATCACCTGACCGATTAAGAAAGAAGTTATTCCTTCATGTGTCTGGGTGTTTGCCTGTGTATGGGTATGTGCACCATGTGTGTGCACTGTCCAAGAAGGACAGAAGGAAGCAGGACAGGACAGGAGTCACAGTGGTCTCCAGCCACTGTGTGGGTGCTGAGAATCAAACCCCAGGTCTTCTGGAAGAGTTCCCAGCAGTCTTAGCCACAAAGCCATCTCTTTAGCGCCCCCGCCCCCCGAGCCACCCCACCCCTTACCAGCTTTACCACACATTAATTTTCAAGCTTTAACAGCTTTGAAATTGTCATGCAGCTTGGGAATGCTCTTTGCGTTCTTAGTGGTTTAATTGTGTCCTTTACAGTCGTGGCTCTAAGTAAGTGTGATATGCTGGGAAGGGAGGGCGGTAAAAGCAGACAGCCCGAGAAAGCACCTTCCCGAGGAGTACGTTAGCTCCGTCTCCTGGGCTGTGGACTGACTCCCAGCTGAATGAGCTGTGTGAGATGAAATACTGACTTCCTCTAGCTGACGTGATGTCAACTTCATTTTCAAAGCCAAGCGGGCCCAGCTCTCAGGCACTGGTGTTTCTGAAGCACAGGTCTGCTGTGGCTGCCTCGGCAGGGCAGCGATTCCGTGAGAAGCGTGTGTGTGTGTGTGTGTGTGTGTGTGTGTGTGTGTGTGTGTGTGTGTG